TGTTGCAGTTACAGTAGAGCTACGTTTGCAGTTACATCACTAATCTTAGGCAGAGAGTACAGATGAAGGCCTAGGCCGCATTTAATCATTCTAAACATACTCAAAAAAATCCCAACTGTCAAGATAAGAATTTTCACAGAAATCCATAGTTTGACTGGATGTTATTGCTAGAAACGAGGATAAAAAAGATAAAAAAGAGGATATAAATTCTAAGCTCCTCACGAATCTAACGACAGGGCTCCGGAAAATTCACGATCAGCGACAGCAGAAAAAAATAAGCAAGTAAATCAACTTCAAACCATCAACACATGTGTAGTGCGAAAAATCCAATTGCACAAAATTTGAAGAGTTTATTAGGTATATTAGTACTCGAGTCTGGTACTTGCAAAGTGATTGGTCTCCCAAAAGCGCTTCTTTTCCAAAAATCTTGAAATTATGAAATCTAAGTGACTAGTGAATTGATTGTGATGTAGAGTTATATGACCAAGAAAATGTAAATGAAGAGATATGCGAGATCTGCAAGGCTCAGATCGCAAATAAGCAGGAATGGAACTAACCATTGTTACTGATTAATTTTTGTTGCAATACAGCATTAAATCACTTATATTTTACGATGTGACGCGTTCTAAGGAAAAAAATTCTCAAACACGGTCATAGTTGCTGTCCGTTTCCGTTGTAATACTAGAAAAACTTCATAAATGGACAGAACGATGAACAGTTTCAAACGCGCAACTAGTGACGTCAGCGATAAGTGCTTCGTTTTTCGCTTAGCGATATTAATAGGAGACCTGTACTTCACAGATGAAATGCATAATTTCATAAAAGGAATGTCATTGCTTAGTAAAAGTTGTCGAGTTGTTGTTATAGGCTGCAATCTAAGAGAAAGGAATGCAAGCACGGAATGCCAAAAAAGTCAATACTCCATGAAACGCGCCGTTAGGGGGGTAAGGCGACACGGCAAGCATTGCGGCTCATTGAGGGGAAAATAGTTGTGCTTCGATATAGAAGCAAACAACAGTGCATTGCTCAAAAACCACACTACGAGGAGGGTGTATGAATGGGGAAAAAGGCGGTCAACGATCCGAAAGCGTGATCCTTATGCATTATTACACACGCACTGCGGGTCAATATCCGTCGTATTGGCGCTTGGGTAGCCTCCTCTTCGCGTGATTACTCAACACACAGCTGATCTTTGAAATACTTCTCTGAACTCCTACAAATGCGCTTCTGCTATGTACAGCAAATAGTGATGCCGTTATACAATACTGCAAACCTTCTATCTTTCTTGCTGCTTCTTTTTTTGAAATCCGCGAATAAACCCTCCACGTTTTTGCAAACGCCGTCAAAGAAGCCTCTCCAATCAATAATTATCCGGTTCGCACGAGCTCTAGACAATCCACGCTGGCCATCTCTGTTGATGTCCAGTCTGGATCCACAAATAAACGCACGGTTTGCGCATACGCCTGGATCTGTCGCGCGATATTATCGCGCGGTGTCGCGTGTATTGCGTCGCATCAATCGCCACTCATTTCCAAAAACTTGGCGAATTCTCATTTGTGGCCACTGACAGCATTCTATCAAGTATCGCGTTCCAACCATAACAGTATTATCTTTGTAGTAAGAAAGAACGAGTAGGGGTACATCTAGCTATACTGCCAAACCCTTACAGTAGAAACGCGACTGCCATTGCACTCGTACATTGCTGGTTTAAAAAAATTTGTAACTACGATTATGCAAAAAGTCATAAACGGTGAGTTGGTTCTCACAAGTTTTTGTAAATTTTCTCAAAACCTTATAAAGAACTTTCACACATGTGGTGACTGGTAACTAGAAAATCTGAAGCGCTATAGCTCAAGAAATCTTATACGGCAAGATCATGCATGTTACCGTTTCTACACGTAAGCGCTGTTTTAATCTTAATATTTTGTAAACAAGATTACGAAGTTATAACATTGTTGAATTTTAGTGAATATGTGGAAATAGGGAAATGAAATGTGCAACGCTTTTGATCTTGTAATCACAATCCAATTTCTTT